TTCCTCATGTCAAAGTTTGATTAAATAGGTATTTAAAAGGTACAATGCAGTCCTTTAGTGGCAGTAATTAGAAGAATGTAAATGACATTTATTTCTGTGATAGAGTTGTTTTTTAGAGCTTAGTTTCGAGATCCATAGGCCAAGAGCTTTCACGAAGATTTCACTAGAAAACTACCTTCCTCTGAACCAATCACTATGGAAAACCTAGTGACTTTGTTGTAGGGAGCCACGAACCCAGTCCCTCTTCTCTTCATGCTCAGGGAGCAGGGATGGAAAAGAAAGCAAAGATAAATTCTCTGAATTGAGAGGAACATGCTCAGCTTCTTGTAAATGTTAAACTTCAAAGCTGCTCTGCTTTAGGCTGTTCTTTCCTTGGTATAAGCTCCTATAAAAGAAAATAGGCAAGTTATAAACATGCCTATCTTTGCTCTCTGTGCTAGGAACGTCAGTTGGTTCTATTCTGCCTAAAGCAGCCTGCTGTTTGACATTAGAGGACATTAGCATAATTAAAAGTCTGAGGCACTGTGTCTCTCTTTCTTGGGGGGGGAGGGAGGGTAAACCAGTAACAGTAACACTTCAGCATAAGAGATTAGAAATCAGAAACTCCAGATTACATTCCTGGACCTGCCTCTGGCTCAATGTAAAACCCTGAGAAAGAGTTACTTTCCTTCACAGTTGAGGATTAACCCGAGGATTGCATTCCAATGCTGCTCTGGCTCCACAGAGGTAGGAGTGCCTCACTGTTTTGCACGATAGCGCTTCAAACAGGGTGTGCAGACACAAGAAAGTGTTCTTGGATCACATTTATTTTCAGTGGAGATTGGTTCTTGCACATGAAACACTCTGGAGCAGGCTGCTGCTGGCATAATTGTGTAAGTGGTCCATATCCACCCAAAGTGCATCGCTGCCCTTCTGAAACATCTTGCGCTGGTAGTGTACTGGGAATTATGAGGTAAGTATTGAATGGCCATGGAGCAAAACTGAACTGGTTTGGAAGATGAACCGATTCAAAAAATAATTACTAAACACCAAAACAACTAACAGTTGATGTAATGTTTCAATGGGCCTCATTTGTCAAGTAAGATTAATTTCGTATACAAACCTCATTTAGGCTTAAGGTTCTGATGTTAACAAAAATGCTTCCTGTAAAGCATAAGCTCATTACTGAGAAAAATGAATGAAGAGCAGAATTAAAAGTATTTCAGAAACTGAAACTGTGACTGAATGCCATTATGACTCAGACCAGTGGTGTCAAATGGTTTACTGAAGCTTTTAGGACAGTGACCATCTTTTTTATTCTGTATTTGTACAATGTCTAATACAATAGTTCTCTTTCTGCCCCTGGGACTCTTGTCATTGCAATTTATCTCCATTACTGAAAAAAAAAAAAAAAAGAAGGAAGGAAGAAAGAATGCCAGTCTTCATTCAATGTTTGTAAAACATATGGCAAAGATGAGGAATACTTTAAAAAAAAAAAATCAAAACTTTTGTTTTTCTCTTTCTTCAAGTATGGAAATGCTGTTAATTGGAGTTAATTCCATTCATGCAAGGAATATCTATATATCAGGTACCTAAGAAAAAATATGTGGCTTTGTTACTGCAGGGCATATTCAACAAAATAAATCTCTTCATTTTCTGCACCACTTGCTTAAGGCTGGAAAAATTGCTGTAATATCAGCTGCATCTTCACTGTGATGTGCCCGTTACTATAGTAAGCAATATTAACCTGAAGAACTTGATGACTAACTTCAGAAGAATCTAGCGGTAATTTAAATAAGGTTTCCATCTCTTCTTGACTGTGAAGGACTGCACTGATTAAAAAGTCCACATGAAAGCAATATACAAACTAAATTGGACTCAATTCTGCCAGACCTTCTTCCTCATTTAGCAAAACAGAACTAAAGGAGACAATTTCTTTCTCAGTTTAAGGTTTGGCAAAGCATTCACATAGGATGAAGTTACTTTTGCAGTCTTATATTTATTGAAATTATTAATACACATGATAAAAATGAATTCATTATTACTCTTTCTTATATGTTTTCATTGTGCTTGTTAAGATGTTGCAGTTTCAAGTATTGCCATATATAATGAACACAGTTTGCCTCTTAAATAAGATAATACTCCATATGAAAAGACAGGTGAACTTCAAGTGTTTTCTGTGGCTATTTGAAATCAGAATCTGTTAAGATTCCTTGGGCCAAATTTACTTTGCAACAAGTGGGCATAACTGCTTTGATATGAGTGATGTTGGCCTTGGTAGCTAAGCCTAGCAGGAAAAAGACGTAAGAAGAGAAATTCTAATGAATGACAGAGAGGCAATAGGGTTGAGAGATAAGGACTCCCCTCATACATGCCTGCAGTTGTTTTCTCCTGTCATGCCAGAAATTCCCTATTTACATGTTTTTGAGGCTGCTACCTCCAGGTATGACACTGAGCTCACATGCATGAGCTCTGCCAAGCGGATGCTGGTCTGTGCAGGACCAGATTGCGTGTCTCAGCATTAAGTAAAGCAACCTGGAAGTTGCTTTAACTTACATGAGGAGCGTAGCAGAGACAAAGCAAAGAATTTACGCTGGTGGGCATTTTGGCTTGGTTTATTTTGCAGCCTGATCTAGTTTGTCAGCCCCACAGGAGAATGACAGTCTGGCAAGAGCCATGAGAGCAGCTCTAGCTTGGTCTCAGAGCTGCCTCAGGCAGCCATCCTGAGCCACAGTGCATGGCCTGAGCCAAGAGATAACCCTAATGAGCAAGGCTCCCTGCACCAGCAGTTGTTGGGTAAGAGCACAAGAAGTCACAGAGGATTACCATTTTTTTCCAACTAGGCTTAGCTTTAAAAAAGCTTGGGAACTACTGCTCCAGTTTAAGATAGCATGGAAAAAAGGCAACGTGATGACCGCAGCTGTCCTCCTTGCTCTCCAGCAAGGCTCTCTCAGCCTTGAAAGCTTACAGTCTTGATAACACACTTTTTCTTAGCTGCTTACTTCCTATTGCACACAAATCAACCTAATTATCTATGAAGTCATTTTTCAAAAGTTAATTCATTTTTTAGAATTTGGCATCATTTGGCAATGAATCTCTCCTAGCTATACCTGGATACCCTTAATTGATTTTGGGCGGAGAAAGAATACATTTAATCACAAGACAATCTAATTTCAGACAAAAATCAATTATATTTTTATCATGTTAGTGTTCAGGCTGAATAGCAATTTAATGTCTTTGAAACATTTTCTTACACTTACTTAAAGAAAATGTCAATTTACATTAAAATTAAATATTGTGTTTTTCATTTTGTTGAACTATTGAAAAGTCTGGAGTGGAATTTTCTGAAAGATGCAGAGATTGCCCATAGTTTCCATAAAGACTCAAGTCTGGCAGTAAAATCTTTGTTAATTTTTGGTTGCATTTTCCGAGACTCATATTTTAGCAATGTATGTGGACTGCAACGACATGTTGGGCAAACAACTTAGACCAATACTTTCAAATGTTAAAACTCAAATAGGAAGCCAAAAGCAATTATGAAAAGTGTATAATTCATAAAACTGTCTTCATAATTAGTAGAGATGGTGGAATACTACTCAATCAAACTGTAATCAATGTATTCCACTATTAACAATCAAGGTATTTTGAAAATGTCTGCTTTATTGCTGAGTAAATTTAATCCCTTTCTAATGGCCAAATTCTGCTTTTCATAATCATGTTCAATATAACCTACTGCCATGTTAGCTCCCCTACTGTTAACAAACCAGTGCTAAAAGAAATTATTAAAATTAAAAATATTGGGAATTGTTCTTTTTTAGGTGACAGTTTGGAAAACTCCTTCAGCTTACTTTTCTAAAATCAATTTTATTTTGTGCTACATCAGCTTTACAAAAAAACAAACCTGCAAAAATGTTTGTGAGGGTTGTTCCAGCTGGTGTTTGAGCTATTCTCAGAACCAGAGAGTATATGATGGAACTTTTTTGCCATTTTCTTTTCTTTGTATTGACTTTAAAGTGATGGATAACTAAACTGTATGCTTACCAGTGATCCTGCATTACCGATTTCATTTCTCTGAGATGCATAGTATTTTGCACTTTAACACTGGCTCCAACTGCTCAAGGTAGGAAAACCAATTATGCAAATTTCTTGCAAGGCAAAAGGTAACATGATTTCCTGAGGCAGTGAAAAAAAGGCCGTTGATGTAGATCTGTATTATGGTTTCAAAATGAATTTGGCTCATTGGTTTTCAGTATTCTTTTGCATTTTGGTTTGGCAGTAAATTATTGGGAAACTCTTCAGGTGTCTGTGCTAGCTATGCAAAATATGCTCGTATGAGTACAAAAAAACCAAAGAGGTTGAGTGAGCATCACTTAAAGAATAGCAAAACCATTTATTTATAGCACTGTAATTTTTGTGTGTAGCTGGGCACTGGAATAAGCCTTTGAAAACGGTGTTTTTAGCAAAGTGCTTGATTAGGACTTTTAATAATACAAGTCAAAAAATAATAGTGGTGAAAATTCTGCTCAATGTGAAAGAGAGGAAATGTTTATTATAATAATGTTTTACACTGATGTAAAATCCTCTGAACCATTATGTACTACAACAGATACCAACAAAGGACACTACTTAACACTGTATTTTATCTATGAAAACTAATGGCCTGAAACTGCCAAGATCTGAATTACTTCTACAATACTGCTTAGATGATTAAGGACTATTCATGGAATTGTCACGTGCAAATCATGTCAAAACGATTTAATTTCCTTCCACATCGTGGTTACAAGCCTTGTCAGCAGGACAGAAGCAGTAGATGATGTGTATCTTAAAGTTTTAAACAAATCTCACATGACATAAGGAACAGAAAGGTGGTTTTGATGGAACCTCTATGGAGTAGCTGTATACCGGTTGAAAAACCGAAACTATAACCAGAATAATTATCAGTGCTTCAGTGTTAGTATTATTAAAAATAAACAAATAGGTGACATCTGTCCTGGCTACAGGTCTCTTTGTTCTTTTAATCGATGACCCAAATGGTGAAATGGAATACATTTATTATATTTGCTAAAGACGCAAACCGAGAAGGGGCCAAGCTCTCGGCCAACCACTTTGTGGGCCAAGATGGGAATCCCGAAGGCGCTGACAAGCTGAACGAGCGCCCCGGGAACACCAGACCGAGACTCAGCAGGGACAGGTACCACAGCGTACGGAATGACCCCAAACCAGTTTATAACGCTTATGGTCACCCAGTTTACCCCTAGGGCCCAGCTTTCTTACGGACAGCGGCCAGGAGCTGCTTTTTTTTTTGTGCTGCTGCTTCACGGTGCCACCGCTCGGCGCTTTATCCGGGAAGGCCTCGGTCTGTCCCCACAAGGTCGGGAGCAGCAGCGGTTCTCTCAGCGCCAAGTTCTCCATTTCCAGCAAGATCTCCGCTCTCCCCGGGGCCTGCTGAGCCCGCTCTGCCCTTGCCCCGCCTCCGGGGCTCCCGGGCTGCACAGGTGCCGGGGTACCGGCCGAGCGGGGGGAGATCCGGCCCGGCCCGGCGCGGCGCGGCTCGGCGCAGGGGG